CGAGCGCGCCGCAGCCACCACGCCACGGGCAGCCAGCGCCGGCACGCGAGTCGGGCAAGGTCGCGAGGACGCCGAGGCACCAGGACGGGCGCAGGAGGCCCTTCACCAGCAGCAGTTCGTTAGCTAACAGGTGAGCGCAGCAGCTTGGTGGGGAGAAGGTAGAAACCACGCGGTGGAAAGCTGCGATGAGCTGCTCGCTCGGCGAAGAAGCCACCGAGAACACGGGGCCTGTTGTGCAAGCTGTCCCCCACCCCACCGCGCGCCGCGACCCCAGCTTAAAAGCAGCAGCTGGGTTTTCAGCGCCGTTCCTGCATTTGAAACCTGATTTTCCAGATGGGTTGACTGCGACGCGCGTAGGTCAAGCGACTTGCCTCAAGGTCACGCGGCGAGAGGTGGTGGAAGGAGCGGGATTAGCTGGAGGGGACAAGCTTAGTGGTCTGCACGGTGGGGTGGCCACCACCCGAGTGCCAAGCCAGCCCCCCGAGCCCCCCCCCCCCCACCTTCATGGGCACGGGGTGGCAAAGGATGTCCTGCAAGGGGGACGATGCCGTCCCCCTGCCCCAGGCAGGCACTGCTGCGCTGGGTATGGTGCAGCAAACCCTGCTGGAGCAGGACGGTGCCCTTGGCCCGCCGACACCCCCGGCTCATGCCGCAGCTCAGCGCGTTAGCACAGGCGGGCACGGAGATGGAGCAAACCAGGAGGAGCCCTGCCCAGGGCAAGGCAGGTCTAGCTGGGGAGCAATCACAGCTGGGGGATGGGAGAGCACAAGCAGCATCCAGCGAGCATCTCCAGGGAGCCATCTCCCAGCAACCGGCAGCTACCTGCGCGCCACCGCCTGCCCACCGGCCCCCTCCCACGGCAGAGCGGCCGTAGCAGGAACTCACCAGGTACCCCGAGACCTGCTCGGCAGACGGGGTCGGGCACAGGGAGCGCACATGGGCAGACCCAGGAGAGGAGGCACGCGCAGAGCGCAACCGGAGCCGTAGCACGCCGGTAAGCGCATGCAGCCGGCGCGCGTTGCCCTAGCCTACCGAGCAGCGCGTGCAAACCCAGGCCTTGCTGACACCTGCTCAAACCCCGGCGCTTTTACAACCCTCCAACTAATAAGTCTGATGCAAACACTCTGCATGTTGACAGCCGAGATGCCCGCCAGCAGCTCCTGAATCATGCTGTTCCTGGCTCAGGCAATCCTCCCACCAACGCCAGCTTCCACAATGTGAAGCAGGAGCAATGAAGTTATTTTTCATTAGTGCTCTCAAGGCCAGCTGATCTCTAGGAGACCCAAGCTCAGGAGACATAGGAAGAAAAAGGGAAAGATGCTGATGAGCATAGGAAGGGACTGGAATAACCCATCTCCAGGGCCTCTTTTCCACCCTCAAGCCAAGGTTAACTAGAGTTAACCCTTCCTGCAGCAGCTCTGGAGAGGAATAGAGAAGGTCTGCAGGATCCATCCATCAGGGTAACCTGCATTTCCACGTCAAAAGGCAACAGAGCAAAAAAAGCATCACTGCAAAAATCCATCACCCAGCCAAATCTACTATCAAGACACACACAAAACCCTTACTGCCCTTCTCAGACCCCACATTCTCCCATCCAACAGGTCAAGATTAGCAAAATTTCCTGGGAAAGGATGGACATGGGAGCTGAGCCAACCCCTAGAAGCCCTTGGCTAACCCCAGCGCCAAAGCAGCCCCTTGCCAGATGAACGCGGTGAGGTGCCCAGCTCTGGCAGAAGCACGTGCCAAAGCAGGTGGCTTCCAATCCAAATCCCTCCATGGTGAATGAGCAGCTCCACCTCCAGGAGCAGGACCAGTCCTCTCGTGCAACACAGGTCATCTCCCTCCAGTCAAGCCTTTAGGTCTTCAGCCTCAGGTGCCCTATCAACAACTTGATGTCCAGCAGAGGAGATCCAAGTCAAGAGGAGATTGCCAAGTCAAGCCATCCTTCACATCCAAGGCAAGCTATGGCGGCCAGATCCAAGAGCATTTCCTCTTGCAGCAACACTGTGCAACTCCACATCAAGCTCCCGGGAGATGAAGCATACTCCCTAGTGTCACAGCACCGCAAGAAATGCCAGGAGTCCAGACCCCTCTTCTGACACCAACTCACAACGTGCCCCAGGACCCCCACGGCCCTGCCTGTGCTCGGCTCTCCTCCCCCCCACTGTAAGAGGAGGATAACGCGTCTTCCTTCCCTCACTGAGCGGATTAATGCTCGGAAAGCCCTCGGAAAGCCTCGCGAGGCAAGAGGACTACTCGCTGGCGTGGCACTGTTGCAAGCCCACCGCGTTTCTGTGAGGGGGAGGTGCGGGGAGGAAGGCCACGGCCCCCTCTCCTGGGGGCAGACCTCCAGCCCAGAGACCAAGCCCAATCAGGGCTCTCCCAGAAGAGCATCAGGTGCCCCGCGCGGGGCAGTGGGAAGGGGTCTCAGCCTGCCCTGCGTCCTGTCAGCCGCCGCGGCTCACGTGCAGGGGAAGTCCCCTCCGGAGAGGACGGCCAGCCGAGGAGGTGGAAAGCGAGCTGAGAAGAGGAGTGAAGCAAGGTGAGCCACAGCAGTGACTTGCACTGCCCCTAAGTGCTCAGACCGGTGACTCAGGACAGACACGCTGCAGGAACAGCTGAGGTCAGGCCACACCAGCGGCCACTGCAGGGCACCGAGGAAGAGCCAGCAGCGCTACAGGCGAAGGGCAAGCCCACGCGTCTCCCGGCGCGCCAGGCAAACCCGAGCTCCCCACCTTCCCGGCCTCCTGGCAGCCGCCGCTTCTCACGTGCAGGGGAAGTCCCCTCCGGAGAGGACGGCCAGCCGAGGAGGAGGTGGAAAGCGAGCTGAGAAGAGGAGTGAAGCAAGGTGAGCCACAGCAGTGACTTGCACTGCCCCTAAGTGCTCAGACCGGTGACTCAGGACAGACACGCTGCAGGAACAGCTGAGGTCAGGCCACACCAGCGGCCACTGCAGGGCACCGAGGAAGAGCCAGCAGCGCTACAGGCGAAGGGCAAGCCCACGCGTCTCCCGGCGCGCCAGGCAAACCCGAGCTCCCCAAGCAGCGGCACCGCGACCGGGGGACGCCCCCGGGATTTGCACAGCCAGCCTTCCCTGGCAGGGAAAGCGGGACAGCGGAGGGGATGCCAGCAGACCCCACGGCACACTGCCGCCAGCCACGCGGCACACGCTGCGGTGT